CCTTTGTAACTAATTTTTCCGTCTGCTTTTCAGTAAGAAAGAGCATTTTCAAAGGGCTGTGAAGAAACTGGTTGGAGTTTTCACTTCTGAGAAAGAGGTAAATATTCAGAACTAGGCGTTCTTTTACTCTTTGGGAACTTCATTTCATTTAATGTATTTTGACTCATAATTTTCTTTTCCTTTTTTAGAGTACTTACTACGTTCCTCCATGCCCTGAAAACAACCAGCCGTTTCCCAGAGGCTTGGTTGCTAATGCCTATAGGAATACCAAGAGCAGGAAACATTCATTAAACCCTGAAGCATCCAGCCAGCCAAAGGGCGTCAAACGCTCTCGTCAGAAGCATTTGCCCTCCATTTGTTACGCTCCTCGTAAGTAGATTTTTAACATATTATTGGTTGAGGGCGTGTTGTTGCGTAGTCTTTTTGGGGCAGGCGCACATCGCTTCTGCTATGCAGCCGTTTCGTTATTTTATTTACTTTCTGTGAGGGCTAGTACTTCAACGTTTGTTTTTTTCTTTTACGTTGCAGGTAACGAAAGTGAAGTGCTTGGTGCCACTGAGTTTCTGGCTCACTCAATCAGTCCGTGGCCTGAAGTGAAAAAGGCGTGGGACATTACGGCGCCGTCTAGGTTGTCGTCGTTGTTTTCTGAGGAATCTGCTTCAAAATCAAAGAAGAAAAATTCTAAAGAGCAGCCACTTCTTTTATGCACATACATGAGCGCCTGGCCTGTCCTGAAGCACGCGTCTGGTACCGAGCTGGTATGTTTCTCATCACAAAGCCAGCACATCAATATTAAACTTATACCTGCATGCATTTAACATCCGGTGCATCTTTTTCAGATATTGCAGGACTTCAACCACTTGTATCCTGGCCACGAGCTAACCCTTTACTCAGCTTGGGAGCAATTTTGCACCAGTGTGCTTCGTTGTGCTCCAAAGCACGTAACTGACTCGTACGGCCGAGGCCTTCTTACTGAGTTGAAGGGAGATTTGCGAAAGGGTAAGATATCATTTATACTGATCATTATTCAACAAACAATTTCTCTCCTTTGTTTCTTGTGTAATGCCTTTTTGCCAATACAATGTAAATGTACTTGTTGCAGGTCACCGTGACGTTCTCATTGCTTGCCTGCTGCCTTCCCTCGTGCAACCTACTGCAAGGGTGCCTAAACCAGGTCAAGGAGTTTGGAAGCCATCAATAGCGGAGTCTAGAGAAGCCTTCGTTCTGCACGTCAAGGTAAACAATATGATTTTCTGTTAAGTTGCGCCCTTTAAAGCAGATGATGTAAATCCGCTAGCTTTGACTCCCGATTGCAGCCAACAGTTAGCAATTAGACGTACCAAGGCATTTGCGAATTTTGCAGTTGCACGTTGCAATGGCAAATGTAGTAGCAGTAGCGTTGTAGCGACAAGTAGGAGCATCGTATACCCCACCCAACAGCGATAAACAGCGCTGAGCGCCCGCCAGGGTCCAACCCCACCCATACTCCTAGCTACAGGCGGCCTGTCCCGTCGCATCTCGCAGTCGAACAATGCATTTTTCAGTAACTTAATCCTTTCATTGTTTGAATCGTCTTGGCCCGTTCGTTGCAATGTGCCATTAAAATTTTCAACGTTGAAATTTGAAGTCAGTTGTTGTATTGGAGTGGCTCTGCTGCGTTTCTGCCGCTGTAGTGTTAGAGTGACTTTTGCGTTTCCGCCAGAAAGCACCTAGGGTGAGGTAACTGGGTTACGCGGCTTTGTAACCATCCAAGACCATCGCCTCTTGCGCGCAGCTGCAGAACGGGGTAACGCGTCGAGTATTGCGCGTCGTGTCGCCTGTCAACACGGGGTGGTATGCCCCTTGCGCGTCTATCGTCCTTGGCTGTGCTTTAGGCTCAGAACTTTTAGCCTCTTTTGTTTCCCTTGCCATGGCGCCTTCATGCTTCCTAGAAACTGTTAGAAATTATCCTGTTCTTAACTGACAAATATTGATACTGTTTTGATGACAGTTTCTTAGAAAAGATCCTGCTTGTTTATTGCAGTCAAAATTTCATTAAAATAAACGGGTTTTTTAAGCGGTCTTGCCACCGCTTCTAGCTCTGCATCCGATCCCACTCATCCCATCCATCCATCCATCCATCCATCCATTCAGCGCGCTCGGAGGGGACTGCATGGTCGTGTAGGTTCCGTCGTCCGTCGTCGTCCTGCGCCGCCACGCCGCGCCGCCGCGCCAGTCCCCACTCCTCACAGCCACCCCCTGCCTCCTTGCCCCCTCTCTGCCCGGCCTCCCCTGCCGGGCCACGGCAAGACCGCTTTGCCAAGCTTGCATTGGCGGAACTTTTGTCTAATGCTTTGCTCTCCGTTTGTTTACAGACTGTGGCTGACGTTGACACTGCCTTGAAAGTCCGAGAGGCAAAGTTATTGCGTCTGGGAGTACGGAGCCAGCCTCTTTTAGTCATTGTTGGTGAGCTTAAGGATATTCGGAACTTTGTGGTTGTTATTGATAATAATAGATACAGTGTCACTGGGTTTCTGCAAAGTGTAGATACTCTTTTCAAGTCTTTCTTTGCCTTGAGTACCGATTACCCAGTTGAGGCTAAACAAATTTGGATGCTTATACAAAAGTCTATTTATAAAATAAGTTCTTCATGTGAAGAAAAAATCCCTACTGTAGAAACAGTTCTCAATGAATTTCATGTTTAGCTGTCGCGTGTTCTTGACTTCTCACTTTTTCTGAAATTTTTGTTGGTTCTGTTTGAATTCTTTATGTACTATTGTGCGAGTTAAGGTTCTTAGAATATATTTGTTTAATATATTAAAACAAGGTAGGTTTACGCCAGACCGCGTCTTGTCGTAACAGGCTTCGCGATGTCTCGCGGCCTGTTCCTCCAATCCGCGCCTGGCGTACCTACCTTGGCCTGCGGCGCTAGCCTGCCTTCGGCAGGCGTGGCTTGTCCATCGTCGGTTACTTCTTACGTGTTGCATGCTGTGGGGCTCCGCCCCCAGACCCCCCTTAATTCTAGAAAGAGTTGCTTAATCTACAGATAACACGATCTTGACCCTTGTAACTTTTTAACTTGTCGAGGCTGGGGGGCTCCGCCCCCCAGACCCCCTCTCTTCAACACAGAGGTGATCTACCTGCAAAAAAACTCGATTTTTCGCCGTTTTTTAGGTGTTTTTCGGCTATAAAAACTGAACCGGTTGAGCTAGGACAGTGAAATTTCGCGTGTGCCGAGCCAAGAACATACCTAATAAGCCTACAAAATCTCAGCCAGATCGGCCGAGCCGTTTAGGAGGAGTAGTGTACACACACACACACACACACACACACGGACACACACACAGACAGACAGACAGACAAAACTTTTCAACCGCACTGGAGTAACGGGCTTCGCTATCGCTCAGCCAATAAAGTTTTTGTTAAAATGTATAATTGTTTTAAATGCCATCGGGCTTTTAATAGTCCAGATCTTTTGATTAATCATCTGAGGTATACAGAGCAACTTGGTTGTCTCGATATTAAGTACTGCGCTGAATGTGGAAGGAGCTTTGATTCCTTCGTGGCACTACGGAGACACTTACCCGAACATGTGCTTAACGTTGAACAAAATCTAGAATTTGGGTTGGATGCCGAGGACAATCCGCTCCCGCAGCAACCAAATGATCCTGTTGTTCTTGACCCAGTGCCGCTAGATGTGTTTAAGGCAGCCTTATTCAACTCTTCGCTAACATTTTGTGCTAAGTTGTATGATATAGACAACATTAATAGGAAAAATGTTCAGGAAATTGTAACTGCTGCTAGGGAAAATTTTGCCAGTGGGTTTTTGGGGCCTTTGCGTGACAACATTTCACTCTTGTTTGGCGTTGTCGAGGGCCATGAAGAGCTTAAGACAACCATTCTTCTGATGATTTCGCTCATAGAGAATTCTTTTAGGGGACTAGAAACAGAACACCTACGAACGGAAGCCCTGAAACAGAGCAGTGCTTACATTGCCCCTGTCCCATTCAATATTGGTGTGGCACCTGGCACGGTAATCCGTAATGGGCACCCAGTTCTTGTTCAAGGGCAGGTTAGTGGTCATCATGTGCCGCTTGGTGAAGTGGTGAAACAGTTCTTTGAACTCCCTGATGTTTTAAATTCTACTATTGATTACATGAATGAACTTGAACAAGAAACTAATGTTACAAGGTAGGTTTACGCCAGACCGCGTCTTGTTGTAACAGGCTTCGCGATATCTCGCTGCCTGTTTCTCCAATCCGCGCCTGGCGTACCTACCTTGGCCTGCGGCGCTAGCCTGCCTACGGCAGGCAATGGCTTCTTTGTCGTCGGTTACGTCTAACCTGCTTGTCCGTCATCGGTTACTCCTTGAGCCCCCCAGCCACCCCCTTCATTCTAGAGTTGCTTCGTCTACAGATAACACGATCTTGACCCTTGTAACTTTTCAACTTGTCGAGGCTGGGGGGCGGAGCCCCCCAGACCCCCCTTCCTCAGAACCGAAGTGATCTGCCTGCAGAAAACTCGATTTTTCCCCGTTTTTTTTTGAGTTTTCCGGCTATGAAAACTGAACCAGTTGAGCTAGGATAGTGAAATTTCGCGTGTGCTGAGCCAAGAACATACCTAATAGGCCTGCAAAATCTCAGCCAGATCGGCCGAGCCGTTCAGGAGGAGTAGTGTACACACACACACACACAGACAGACAGACAGACAGAAAAAACTTTTCAACCGCACTGGAGTAACAGGCTTCGCTATCGCTCAGCCAATTAGAAATATAACTCAAGGTACGTTGTGGAAAGAAAATATAAAACCAAGGTTTCCTGATAAAGTTGTCATCCCTATTAACATTTTTGGGGATGAGTTCGAACCAGACAATTCTAACGGTAGTCATTCAGGCACCAACAAACCTTTGTCAGTCCATTTTTCATTTCCTTCCATTCCTCAAGAGTTCCAAAGCAAACTAGAAAACATTTTTATTGCTGCATTCATATTACATGATAATGTTTCATTATTTGGTATTGATAATTGTTGTCATCCTATTATTAGAGATTTAACAGTGCTTGAAGAACAAGGTGTTGATGTGGTAACAAATTCTGGTATCATTAAGTTATTCTTTGCTTTGACGCTGGTTAGGGGAGACAATTTGGGGTTGCATTCTATGCTTGGTTTTGTTGAATGTTTCACTGCCAACTATTGTTGTAGGATTTGTAAAGTTTTCAGGACCCAGCTTCAATTGCAAACTGCTCTTGACGAACGTTTGCTTCGGACTGTTGATAATTATGCTGAAGACCTGGCCATTAATGATGTTTCTCTTACAGGCATTAATTCGGAGTGTGCTTTTAATGCAGTACCAAGTTACCATTGTATAGTTAATCAATACTGGATGTAATGCATGATCTTCCAGAGGGAATTTTAAAATATGTAATGTGTAATATTATTTATTACCTAGTTCATGAGAGAGATTATTTTACTTTAGAGATGCTTCATATGCGGATGAACAACTTTGATTATGCTTACCATGAAGTTGGTAACACTCCACCGTTTAAGAAGCTTACTGCAGACGCGGTGCGTTCTGACAGTCTTAATCTCTCGGCCTCTGAAATGTTGTGCTTCACTATCTTCTTTGCAGAAATGGTAGGGGATTACGTTCCTGATGACGACCCTGTTTGGCAATTGTACTTGTTAATTCGAGAGATTTTGGATATCATGCTTTCTCCTGCATTTGTTGTTGGTACGGAGTATTACTTGCATCATCTTGTTGAGTCATTTTTGACGAGCTATCTAGATCTTTTCCATACTCATTTAACATTCAAATTTCATCTTCTGTTGCACTGTAGTTATTTAATGAGGTTAATTGGGCCTCTGGTTCTTCTGTGGGGAATGAGAGACGAGGGTAAACACCGGCTCTCTAAAATCATGGCGCATTCTACGAACTCCAGAATTAATTTGCCCCTAACTCTCTTAATTAAGCATCAGTTAAAACTTGCTGCTAGATTCCTAGCTAAAAGGGGCTTGTTTGATGAATTTTATTATCCCACTGGTGACTTAGTGACCCTTGAGCACTTTGATGATGTGGTTCTACCAGTTGGCTTTCCTGTGTTGCCTGATGAACAGTAGATATTCTATGCCGGTCCTAAACGGTGTGTACTCTTACCGCTCCCCTCCCCACCTCTCCTCACCTTCTGACTTAGCCGGAGCGCTGTGTACCTCACTCCACCGCGCGGCCCCTTCCCCGCACGCTTGATTTAGAGAGAGCGGTGGGTACCTCACTCCACCACCCCGCCCCCCTCTCACCAAGCCGCCAGACTAGCCCACTGACCCATTCACACACTACGCTCGGCCACGGCCACAGGTACCGCGGTCCCCCGCTCCCACCTCTTCCCCGCGTGCGCTAGACTAGACAGCAGCAATGATTACCTCATTCCACCGCTCCCGCCCCTTCGCCGCGTGATTCCCCGCAAAGCTTAAACGATAGTTAATTAGGCGTGAACTCTTCGCACCTGTTGCAAAAAGAGCACCACGCGCTGCAAAATCTTTACGCCTGCTGCAATGTTGTTTTTAATTACACATAATTCAAACAACACTGAGGTGAGAGCGGTCTAATCGCCAATCGTTGTCACATTGATCTTAAACAAAAACACTTTAAAAAATTCATTGCTTAGGTGACACCTGCCTTGGCAACTGCTTGCGTCATTCACCTTGACCAATGACGAATCGACTAGTTTTCGGATGGTCCAAACAAGCAAATTACAGAGCTGCAACATACTGACCAAAGTAGACACGAAATCATACCTGCAACACAGTGGCACTTTTTCAATTTTTGGCATGGAATGCTTAGGTCCCTCCCGGATAATTTCCTGGTTGCTAAGTCTCGAAGAACGACTGAACAGACCATTCCTTTGTGCGTCGCCGACGGAGACAGACGTGCAGCTCACAGCGCAGTTTTTTAACGCATCACACCCTCTCACCAGGTAGGTGCGTTCAAAACATGTAAAACGCTAACTTGTTGAGTTTTACTATTGTCTCATCGTGTCGACACGTGTAAAGAGAAGGCAAGGCGCGCAGTGGCGCTTGCGCAATCTAAAAAGTGCTCAGTTGCGGTCCTGTGATCTGAAAGGCGCGTAGTTTTCCACGCGCAAACCCAAAAGTCACTCAGTTTGCCCGACGCACTCTCCCTCTCTCTTAACCTTGCAATTATCACCTTTCCAGTCAAATTGACACCCGCCGACAGGACGAGCAAGCAGAACGGTATCGCAATCTACTGCCTGCACAACAGTGTAAGTATGCATAAAAATGCAGAGTAAAATCGTAGGTTTTCCTCACGAGAAGAAAAAAAATAAAATAGTGTAGCAGACAACACATTTCTAATGCACTTTGAAATTCTTACCTTTCAGCTCTCACCATCAACTAACGTCAAAAGGCGCGAACGCGCGGCACACCGACCATTTTTCTCACCCACCTCCTGCATCGTGGTGTAAGTATAAGTAAAATGTATTAGTGTAAATAGTTGCAAAAAAGTGTACTATCAACCACGCTAAATTAAAAAGGAGGACTAGCCCGACCCAGGCCAACATACATTATTTTACAGGACCAGCGCGCTGTGTGCTATGCTGTGTAGGTTTGCGTGCGGTGTCTTAAACCTAATCAGCTTTTAATTTTCAGCTGCTGCAGTTCATTTTGATGTGTTAAACTGTATCTAATGACCAGGGTTGGAGGGCGCTAGGAGGTAGTCACGTGCCCAACTCAGCTAGTACGGCAAGTACGTCACTCCACCGCACCAATCCCCTCCCCGCTCGCCTTCCTTGGCTAGAGCAACGGGGTACCGCACTGCACCGCATTGCCCCCCGCCCCGCTCGCCTTCGTCGGCTGGAGCGGCGGGTACCGCACTCCACCGCGCTGCCCCCCGCCCCGCGCGCCGGACTTGGCTTGACCGGCGGGTACCTCACCCCACCGCGCTTCCCCTCCGCCCCGCGTGCCATACACGGTTGGAGCGGCGGGTACCGCACTCCACCGCGCTGCCCCCCGCCCCGCGCGCCGGACTTGGCTTGACCGGCGGGTACCTCACCCCACCGCGCTTCCCCTCCGCCCCGCGCGCCATACACGGTTGGAGCGGCGGGTACCGCACTCCACCGCGCTGCCCCCCGCCCCGCGCGCCGGACTTGGCTTGACCGGCGGGTACCTCACCCCACCGCGCTTCCCCTCCGCCCCGCGCGCCATACACGGTTGGAGCGGCGGGTACCGCACTCCACCGCGCTGCCCCCCGCCCCGCGTGCCGGACTTGGCTTGACCGGCGGGTACCTCACCCCACCGCGCTTCCCCTCTGCCCCGCACTGCAAATGCAACGGCGATACTTAAGTACATTTTTTGGCGATACAATTGAGTATCGCCAAGAAACGGCCTTACGGAAAAGTACTGCCTTCAGAACGGCGATACAAAAAAGTATCGCCAAAATTTGGCAATACTTTTGGATATTGCCAAAACCACGGCATTAAACCAAGGTCCTGTACCCTCGATTTGTTCAACGTTTATTGCCAAATCGTGGCAATACTCAAAAGTATCGCCAAATTTTGGCGATACTTTTGTGTATCGCCGTTTTGAAGGCAATACTTTTCCGTAAGGCCGTTTATTGGCGATACTCAATTGTATCGCCAAAAAAGGTGCTAAAAGTATTGCCTTTGGATTTGGAGTGCGTGCACCAGAGCGGCTGGTACCTCACCCCACCGCGCTTCCCCTCCGCCCCGCGCGCTGGACTCGGCTGGAGCGGCGGGTACCTCACCCCACCGCGCTTCCCCTCTGTCCCGTGCACCAGAGCAGGTAGTACCTCACCCCACCGCGCTTCCCCTCCGCCCCGCGCGCCATACACGGTTGGAGCGGCGGGTACCACACTCCACCGCGCTGCCCCCCGCCCCGCGCGCCGGACTTGGCTTGACCGGCGGGTACCTCACCCCACCGCGCTTCCCCTCTACCCCGTGCACCGGAGCGGCTGGTACCTCACCCCACCGCGCTTCCCCTCCGCCCCGCGCGCCGGACTCGGCTGGAGCGGCGGGTACCTCACCCCACCGCACTTCCCCTCTGTCCCATGCACCAGAGCAGCTAGTACCTCACCCCACCGCGCTTCCCCTCCGCCCCGCGCGCCATACACGGTTGGAGCGGCGGGTACCGCACTCCACCGCACTGCCCCCCGCCCCGCGCGCCGGACTTGGCTTGACCGGCGGGTACCTCACCCCACCGCGCTTCCCCTCCGCCCCGCGCGCCATACACGGTTGGAGCGGCGGGTACCGCACTCCACCGCGCTGCCCCCCGCCCCGCGCGCCGGACTTGGCTTGACCGGCGGGTACCTCACCCCACCGCGCTTCCCCTCTGCCCCGTGCACCAGAGCGGCTGGTACCTCACCCCACCGCGCTTCCCCTCCGCCCCGCGCGCCGGACTCGGCTGGAGCGGCGGGTACCTCACCCCACCGCGCTTCCCCTCTGTCCCGTGCACCAGAGCGGCTAGTACTTCACCCCACCGCGCTTCCCCTCCGCCCCGCGCGCCGGACTCGGCTGGAGCGGCGAGGTACCTCACTCCACCGCACTGCCCCCTTCCCCGCGCGTGTACGTTGGGTTGCCTACTCACCACGGCGCTCTGTCCACAGCCCACCTCCCGCCACTGGCCGCGCGGATGTACGCTGGGCGGCCTACCCACTACGGCGCTCTACCTACTACTCGTCTCCAGCTACTCGCCGCGCGGGTGCACGTTGGGTGGCCTACCCACTACGGCGCTTTGTGCGCAGCCAGCCCCGGCGCTCCAACGCTGTGTCCACCTGGCACACAGTGCAAAGTGCACCTTGCAGCTGGTTCCTAACAGTAAAGCGGTGATAACCAAGTGAGTTTTAACGCGTCATTACTATTTTACATCAAACACGTTTTAAATAACAAAACAAAAATGTTGTGAGCGCCTTTTTTTGGCTGTCTCCAAAGAATCAATCGCTTTTAATTAGCTGCTGATCTTTGTGTGCATTTTTACATTGTTTAAACAAAGAAACACAGTACAAACCCTTAAAAAACCAAACAAACAAACAAAACAACAAATCAATCATCTTCAAAAAACGTTTTGAAAAAAAAAATAATCATGGCAGGTGTAAGAATCCTGGATGCTGGATAGTAAGCCGGATTAGGTATGGGTTCTACCCAAGCCCCGCAACCAGTTTTCTGTCGCACGGTTTTTACAAAACTGAACCGACGGAAGAGACCGCTCGTATTCAATACTTGTGGAAAAAGGATTCAAACACATCTCCATGACTAATTTTTTTTTTAAATCAGACTACATATTGCTGTAGCACCACAGTAATATGGTCTCAAAAAAGAAAAACCTCATAAATAAAATAATGTTTATGTTGTGTGTGTGTGTGTGTGTTTATTTGCTAATGAAAACTTTTTCTTAAACTTACAGCTTTAAACAATCTAGCAGTTGTTTTCAAAACGTTTTAATATGTCGCAAGACAAAACGCAACGCAAACGCCGACGAGGCCGCCGCGCCGGTTCTGCAGTCTACACGCGTCAAACGATTGCCCGCGAACGCGCAGCCGAAAAGGACATACAGAAGACAGCTTCGGACTGGACATCTTGTCTCATCCATGTGGAAGTCAACCCAACCAACTACAAGAACTTTGTGAAAGACTTGCGAGACCCTCGTGTTAAAATTAAACCCCCAGTTGTGCTTCATAAAATTATCATTAATAATTTTACTGTGGCTGTGTTTGCGCGAGACCACCCACCTCGTAAGTATTGCGTTCGCATCCCCTTGGAACCTGTAAAGCGCCCCATTGCTCTCCGCGTTTCGATTCCGACATGCCGTATTAAAGGAGTGTCTTTACGAAGGTACAACAAGGTTCAAACTGTCTTCAAACAACAAATTTAGAAGAAAAATATATTTTATTACAAAATATACATTGTTTTACGTTTTTTCTTTGATTTTTCAATAAACCGATGAATCATTTCAGAGCACAGGTGCTTAGTGTGAACATCATAAGAACCAAGTTTGCCGAAGATTATCTTACCTAGAAATTCCATAACGCGGTCAGCATAACGTCCTTGAACCCAGTTTTTGTAAGATGTTTGTGGTATTTTAACTAAATCCGAAATCAATTTTGCTGCTTCAGCTTTTCTCCGTCTTCCTACAATTCGCGGTGCTAGTTTCACCAATACTTGAAGGATTTCTTCAAAGAACTTGGTGTCATTTTCGGTAGAACTCGCCATCACTCCGTTTCTCAGCAGGTGGGTACTGAATTGTGCAGCGCTCGCACTTTGGCTTTTATACAGGTTAGTAGACAAAGAGGGATCAAATTATTTTGTTCCAGAACCTCTTTCCATGTACCATACTTTAGAGTACAGTAAACAGGTAGGACGTCAGACTCCAAATTAGACACCTGCAAAGCATCCGGTCACGATGGTATTACCCATTAACCGTCATTATTGCTTGTTTGTACCATACTTAGGAGCGCAGTAAGCAGAAAGGACGTCAGACTCCACATTAGCCACCTGCCAAGCACCTGGTCTCGGTGGTCCTGCATCAGCCATTACCTTTCATCATCATTGCATGTAAGTACCATGCTTAAGAGTACAGTGAGCAAAAAGGACGTCTGACTCCAAATTAGTCGTCTGCCAGACCTTTGCTGGGCTATAATCACAACAACATTGGTTCCAGATCGTTCCATGCCGACCGCAAATTATTGGGACGCGGACCATTAACGATGTCTAGACGTCTAGACAGCTGGTAAATAGTTGGCGAGCGATAGCGAGCCCATGCCGTGTTTGGGGGTACCAAAAAGTGATTGGTCGTGCGTCTGTCTGTGTGTCTGTAACTCACTCACGTTTCTCAGCAACTACCGCACAAATAGTTTCAAAATTTCGCACCGGAAGGCTCCTAAATCTCCCCCAGGGGGAGTTTATCTTATATTCACGATTACTATTGTTTGAAATATTCAAAACATCTTTTTGAATTAGGTTCTTAGCGTGGTTAGGTTGGCAGTGGTTGGTAGCTCGTAGCAATTTTTCATACTTGCTGCCGCGACTCTCAAATACGGGACCTGGCAAAACATTGGCAAATAAAACAAACTAAAGAGCAGAAGGGCTTAGAAGTGAGTACGGTCATAGTTTTTCGATATTTTAGAATGATTGAAACCCCTCCGGAGTGTCAACTCAGTGAAATACGGAAAATGAAAGTGACAATTATTACGCGTTTCGTCCGTCCATCCACCCCCCCCCCCCCCCCTACAGGGGAAATGTTTTAGTCAGTGGAGTGTGTTTGATAATTGCAAAGAATGATTTGGTCTTTTTAACCTCTGTGAGTGTATTTCCATTTATATTCTCAGACCTATGTTTTTTAGTTGTTTGCTTTGCTAAATAACAGTTAGAAAATGTATTAATACATTCTATGAGTACAAACCAGATGCTAATCTTGCCAAAATAAATAGTCTTTGCTGACTCTTGGCACTGATTCTGGGAAAAGGCTTCATTGCAATGCTGTGAGTTTACTATAGTACTAACCTTAAAGAAAACCATATGATGAGTGAGGTAGCGCATTCAAGGTTTGACATTGACATCAGATTCAATGAGACGATTCACTGACTTGGTCATATGATTTCATGAGACGATTCTTTTAACTTAATCGTACATTGTCTGCGACACTGGTAATTTGTGTTGGTCATGGTTTGAGTTGGCTTTTTTTTTTAATTTACTGGGAATGTTAGGTAAATACTTTTGCTGAACTGTTTCAAAGTTTAAAATAACACACCATGACTATTTATGAATAAGATAAACTTGCGTTTAGCAATAAGTGGCCTCGACATTGGATTCTATGAAACGATTCATTGGATCTGACAGAAGGTCTTCTCCGTAAATAGTTGAAATCAGCCTGCCTGAAAATATGTCTCTTTTTAATAATGCAGATAAATCAATATAGTTTAATCCACTAGTTTAAACTAAAAGGGAGAAAGGCTTTTTAGGTATTACAAAATTTATTGCGTATTCATAAGTTCAGTAACAAGGAGATATCGAATGGTAAGAAGTATTTGTGAATCGTATTAAGCAATCCATGCTGGCTGTTAAATGTTACTCGACTGCGTAACAGGGTCAAGGTTCATGGCATGACACCATGAACAGGAAACACTCTTAAAAAACCTAACAATGAAGACCCATACTTTCAACTAGAAATACATGATTTAGGACCAAAATTTCCTCGGTGTTTCATTGCTTCCTGCAGTATTTGGTGTGCTGATCACAAAAAAGACTTCCAAATTTTATCCCAGACCTTTACTTTTCCCAAAAATTTTCCAATTTTGGACCAAAATTTTTTCATCGAGTTTTACATAGTTTCTTGCAGTTTTGGTGTGCTGATCACGAAAATGACTTCCAATTTCATCTCAGACCTTTACTTTTTCCCAAAAATTTACCAATTTCGGACCAAAATTTTACATCGAGTTTTACATAGTTTCCTGCTGTTTTGGTGTGCTGATCACGAAATGACTTCCAATTTCATCTCAGACCTTTACTTTTCCAAAAATTTACCAATTTCGGACCAAAATTTTTACATCGAGTTTTAGTTTCCTGCAGTTTTTGGTGTGCTGATCACGAAAATGACTTCCAATTTCATCTCAGACCTTTACTTTTCCAAATATTTACCAATTTCGGACCCAAAATTTTTTCATCGAGTTTTACATAGTTTCCTGCAGTTTTTGGTGTGCTGATCACGAAAATGACTTCCAATTTCATCCCAGACCTTTACTTTTCCAAAAATTTACCAATTTGTGACCAAACTTTTAAAATTGAGTTTCACATTGACCCTGTATTGGCCTTACTTTGCATATATTCTTCACCATCTTCTACAAGAATACAGACGCATCGCTCGCCTACTACGCGCCCAAACAAAACGGCGCGTACCCCTAGTATCTTATTACACCAATTGCAGGGCGGCAGGCATCCTGTACATCTTTTCTTCCCTACTACCACAGGTTTTGGGAGAATAAAAGGACCCCGGCAGTGAGGTTGGGCCATCAGTCACCAGCTAGAGTTCGACCAGTGCTCCCCTCTGTGCAGTGTCTCCCCCCCCCCCCCCCCCCCCCCCCCGAAGCAGTGTTGTTGAATGTTGGCTTGGGTTGTGCTAGTGCTCCTTCTCGCGTGTACTGTCCACCAGATTGTGCTTATTGTCAAGTTGCAATTTATTCATCAAAGTTTGGTTAAACTTCCCTATTTGTTGGGAGGCCGTGGAGAACCAGAACTTGTTTCCTGCTTATACAAGAGAAATTTTTAACTCTGCTCAGACTGTGTATTGAACACAAAATCCTGTCGTTGTCGTGCACTTCATCTTCAAAGCTGCAACACTCCCAGTTCTACGAACGCTGCTAGTGAACATCTTGTGGCTACAGCTGCAGCTTAGCTTTGACCGTTACAAGTCTGCAAAACCACAACACTCCCAGATCTACGAACGCCGCTAGTGAACGACTACGGCTGCAGCCTAGCTTTGGCTGTTTCAACTACTTAGCGGAACCGTCCAGCAGCAGCGGCAGATTTAATCACCGTTTAACTTTTTATTTTTCATCAAGGTAAGTGCCACTGGTAATGTCCAGAGCTTTTCAGACAAAGCTTAAGGCACTCAATTTTCCCCCAACCTTCTTGCCTGTTGACGATTTAAAATTAAACATCAAATACAAGGTTGTTAAGATAGCACCTCTTAGTACAAGGTTTG